ATATATATATATATATATATATATATATATATATATATATATATAATATATATATATATATATATATATATATATATATATATATATAATGTAAACACTCATTAACACTCACCTGCACGACGCATGCCTCACTAAGCACCTCACCAGCACGACGCATGCCTCACTAAGCACCTCACCAGCACGACGCATGCCTCACTAAGCACCTCACCAGCACGACGCATGCCTCACTAAGCACCTCACCAGCACGACGCATGCCTCACTAAGCGCCTCACCAGCACGACGCATGCTTCACTAAGCGCCTCACCAGCACGACGCATGCCTCACTAAGCACCTCACCAGCACGACGCATGCCTCACTAAGCACCTCACCTGCACGACGCATGCCTCACTAAGCACCTCACCAGCACGACGCATGCCTCACTAAGCACCTCACCTGCACGACGCATGCTTCACTAAGCGCCTCACCTGCACGACGCATGCCTCACTAAGCACCTCACCAGCACGACGCATGCTTCACTAAGCGCCTCACCTGCACGACGCATGCTTCACTAAGCGCCTCACCAGCACGACGCATGCCTCACTAAGCACCTCACCAGCACGACGCATGCCTCACTAAGCACCTCACCAGCACGACGCATGCCTCACTAAGCACCTCACCTGCACGACGCATGCCTCACTAAGCGCCTCACCAGCACGACGCATGCTTCACTAAGCGCCTCACCAGCACGACGCATGCCTCACTAAGCACCTCACCAGCACGACGCATGCCTCACTAAGCACCTCACCAGCACGACGCATGCCTCACTAAGCACCTCACCAGCACGACGCATGCCTCACTAAGCACCTCACCTGCACGACGCATGCCTCACTAAGCGCCTCACCAGCACGACGCATGCTTCACTAAGCGCCTCACCAGCACGACGCATGCCTCACTAAGCACCTCACCAGCACGACGCATGCCTCACTAAGCACCTCACCAGCACGACGCATGCCTCACTAAGCACCTCACCTGCACGACGCATGCCTCACTAAGCGCCTCACCAGCACGATGCATGCTTCACTAAGCGCCTCACCAGCACGACGCATGCCTCACTAAGCACCTCACCAGCACGACGCATGCCTCACTAAGCACCTCACCAGCACGACGCATGCCTCACTAAGCACCTCACCAGCACGACGCATGCTTCACTAACCGCCTCACCTGCACGACGCATGCCTCACTAAGCACCTCACCAGCACGACGCATGCCTCACTAAGCACCTCACCTGCACGACGCATGCCTCACTAAGCGCCTCACCAGCACGACGCATGCTTCACTAAGCGCCTCACCAGCACGACGCATGCTTCACTAAGCGCCTCACCAGCACGACGCATGCTTCACTAAGCGCCTCATCTGCACGACGCATGCCTCACTAAGCGCCTCACCTGCACGACGCATGCCTCACTAAGCGCCTCACCAGCACGACGCATGCCTCACTAAGCACCTCACCAGCACGACGCATGCCTCACTAAGCACCTCATCAGCACGACGCATGCCTCACTAAGCACCTCACTAAGCACCTCACCAGCACGACGCATGCTTCACTAAGCGCCTCACCTGCACGACGCATGCCTCACTAAGCACCTCACCAGCACGACGCATGCCTCACTAAGCACCTCACCTGCACGACGCATGCCTCACTAAGCGCCTCACCAGCACGACGCATGCCTCACTAAGCACCTCACCAGCACGACGCATGCCTCACTAAGCGCCTCACCAGCACGACGCATGCCTCACTAAGCACCTCACCAGCACGACGCATGCTTCACTAAGCGCCTCACCTGCACGACGCATGCCTCACTAAGTGCCTCACCAGCACGACGCATGCCTCACTAAGCGCCTCACCAGCACGACGCATGCTTCACTAAGCGCCTCACCAGCACGACGCATGCTTCACTAAGCGCCTCACCAGCACGACGCATGCTTCACTAAGCGCCTCACCAGCACGACGCATGCTTCACTAAGCACCTCACCAGCACGACGCATGCCTCACTAAGCGCCTCACCTGCACGACGCATGCCTCACTAAGCGCCTCACCGTGGGACCCGCCCTCCAGGGACCATTCAAGGCGGGATCCAGTTCCCGCCGCTCCTCTTAAGGGGAAAAAAATGTCTCTGGGAAATGCAAGAAGATTGTCATATGGACGGTCGTTGTCGGCAGCTGTTGCCAGCTGGAGAGGTTGGGAGAGGTTGGGATAGGTTGGGAGAGGTTGGGAGAGGTTGGGATACGTTGGGAGAGATTGGGAGAGGTTGGGAGAGGTTGGGATAGGTTGGGCGAGGTTGGGATAGGTTGGGCGAGAATGGGATAGGTTGGGCGAGGTTGGGAGAGGTTGGGAGAGGTTGGGCGAGGTTGGGATAGGTTGGGCGAGGTTGGGAGAAGTTGGGATAGGTTGGGCGAGGTTGGGATAGGTAGGGAGAGGTTGGGCGAGGTTGGGATATGTTGGGCGAGGTTGGGCGAGGTTGGGATACGTTTTGATAGGTTGGGATAGGTTGGGATACGTTGGGAGAGGTTGGGAGAGGTTGGGATATGTTGGGCGAGGTTGGGCGAGGTTGGCATACGTTGTGATAGGTTGGGATAGGTTGGGATAGGTTGGGATACGTTGGGAGAGGTTGGGAGAGGTTGGGCGAGGTTGGAATAGGTTGGGAGAGGTTGGGCGACGTTGGGAGAGGTTGGGATAGGTTGGGCGAGGTTGGGAGAGGTTGGGATAGGTTGGGCGAGGTTGGGATAGGTTGGGAGAGGTTGGGATAGGTTGGGCGAGGTTGGGAGAGCTTGGGAGAGGTTGGGATAGGTTGGGCGAGGTTGGGAGGGATTGGGATAGGTTGGGCGAGGTTGGGGAGGTTGGGATAGGTTGGGCGAGGTTGGGATAGGTTGGGCGAGGTTGGGGAGGTTGGGATAGGTTGGGCGAGGTTGGGAGAGGTTGGGATAGGTTGGGAGAGGGTGGGAGAGGTTGGGATAGGTTGGGAGAGGGTTGGGAGAGGTTGGGATAGGTTGGGAGAGGTTGGGCGAGGTTGGGCGAGGTTGGGAGAGGTTGGGAGAGGTTGAGATAGGTTGGGAGAGGTTGGGATAGGTTGGGAGAGGTTGGGATAGGTTGGGGGAGGTTGGGAGAGGTTGGGAGAGGTTGGGAGAGGTTGGGATAGGTTGGGAGAGGTTGGAATAGGTTGGGCGAGGTTGGGATATGTTGGGATAGGTTGGGCGAGGTTGGGATAGGTTGGGAGAGGTTGGGAGAGGTTGGGATAGGTTGGGAGAGGTTGCGAGAGGTTGGGATAGGTTGGGAGAGGTTGGGAGAGGTTGGGATAGGTTGGGCGAGGTTGGGAGAGGTTGAGACTGGTTGGAAGAGGTTGGGAGAGGTTGGGATAAGTTGGGCGAGGTTGGGATAGGTTGAGAAAGGTTGGGAAAGGTTGGGAAAGGTTGGGATAGGTTGGGAGAGGTTGGGATAGGTTGGGAAAGATTGGGAAAGGTTGGGATAGGTTGAGAAAGGTTGGAATAGGTTGGGAGAGGTTGGGATAAGTTGGGAGAGGTTGGGATAAGTTGAACGAGGTTGGGATAAGTTGAACGAGGTTGGGATAGGTTGGGAGAGGTTGGGCGAGGTTGGGAGAGGTTGGGATAGATTGAGAGTGGTTGGGAGAGGTTGGGATAGGTTGGGAGAGATTGGGAGAGATTGGGAGAGGTTGGGAAAGGTTGGGAGAGGTTGGGATAGGTTGGGATACGTTGGGACAGGTTGGGATAGGTTGGGAGAGGTTGGGATGGGTTGGGAGAGGGTGGGAGAGGTTGGGAGAGGTTGGGTGGGGTTGGGATAGGATGGGCGAGGTTGGGATAGGTTGCGAGAGGTTGGGATAGGTTGGGAGAGGTTGAGAGAGGTTGGGCGAGGTTGGGATAGGTTGGAAGAGGTTGGGATAGGTTGAGGTACGTTGGGGTATGATGCGAGAGGTTGGGAGAGGTTGGGATAGGTTGGGGTAGGTTGGGAGAGGTTGGGATAGGTTGGGAGAGATTGGAAGAGGTTGGGTAAGGTTGGGATAGTTTGGGATAGGTTGGGGTAGGTTGGGCGAGATTGGGATAGGTTGGGAGAGGTTGGGATAGGTTGGGAGAGGTTGGGAGAGGTTGGGATAAGTTGTGGAGAGGTTGAGATAGGTTGGGAGAGGTTGGGATAGGTTAGGATAGGTTGGGATAGTTTGGGAGAGGTTGGGATAGGTTGGGAGAGGTTGGGATAGGTCGGGCGAGGTTGGGAGAGGTTGGGATAGATTGGGCGAGATTGGGAGAGGTTGGGAGAGGTTTTGGTAGGTTGGTGTAGGTTGGGAGAGGTTGGGAGACGTTGGGATACCTTGGGAGAGGTTGGGAGAGGTTGGGATAGGTTGGGAGAGGTTGGGATGGGTTGGGAGAGGTTGGCATAGGTTGGGAGAGGTTGGGATAGGTTGGGAGAGGTTAGGAGAGGTTGGGCGACGTGGGGATAGGTTGGGCGAGGTTGGGATAGATTGGGCGAGGTTGGGATAGGTTAGGAGAGGTTGGGAGAGGTTGGGCGAGGTGGGGATAGGTTGGGCGAGGTTGGGATAGGTTAGGAGAGGTTGGGATAGGTTGGGATAGGTTGGGACAGGTTGGGAGAGGTTGGGAGAGGTTGGGAGAGGTTGGGCGAGGTTGGGATAGGTTAGGAGAGGTTGGGATAGGTTGGGATAGGTTGGGCGAGGTTGGGATAGGTTAGGAGAGGTTGGGATATGTTGGGATAGGTTGGGCGAGGTTGGGATAGGTTAGGAGAGGTTGGGAGAGGTTGGGCGAGGTTGGGATAGGTTAGGAGAGGTTGGGATAGGTTGGGAGAGGTTGGGACAGGTTGGGAGAGGGTGGGAGAGGTTGGGAGAGGTTGGGATACGTTTGTGTTTTAGGTCAAGTTAGGTAAGTTAGGGTAGGATATGTTTGGGTTTAGGTCAAGTTAGGTAAGTTAGGGTAGGATATGTTAGGGTTTAGGTCAAGTTAGGTAAGTTAGAGTAGGATATGTTTGGGTTTAGGTCAGGTTAGATAAGTTACGATACTCTAGGTAAGGTTAGGATAAGATAGATTTGATACTGTTGTTGGTATAAAGACTCGCTTTATCACCCCCTGTTGGTACAGAGGCACCATCTACCACCCCTGTTGGTACAGAGGCTCCATCTACCACCCATGTTGGTACAGAGGCACCATCTACCACCCCAGTTGGTACAGAGGCACCATCTACCACCCCCTGTTGGTACAGAGGCTCCATCTACCACCCATGTTGGTACAGAGGCACCATCTACCACCCCCTGTTGGTACAGAGGCACCATCAACCACCCCTTGTTGGTACAGAGGCCCCATCTACCACCCCTGTTGGTACAGAGGCACCATCAACCACCCCCTGTTGGTACAGAGGCTCCATCTACCACCCATGTTGGTACAGAGGCACCATCTACCACCCATGTTGGTACAGAGGCACCATCTACCACCCCTGTTGGTACAGAGGCACCATCTACCACCCCCTGTTGGTACAGAGGCTCCAACTACCACCCATGTTGGTACAGAGGCACCATCTACCACCCCTGTTAGTACAGAGGCACCATCAACCACCCCCTGTTGGTACAGAGGCTCCATCTACCACCCTTGTTGGTACAGAGGCACCATCTACCACCCCTGTTGGTACAGAGGCTCCATCTACCACCCTTGTTGGTACAGAGGCACCATCTACCACCCTTGTTGGTACAGAGGCACCATCTACCACCCCTGTTGGTACAGAGGCACCATCTACCACCCCCTGTTGGTACAGAGGCTCCATCTACCACCCCTGTTGGTACAGAGGCCCCATCTACCACCCCTGTTGGTACAGAGGCACCATCTACCACCCCCTGTTGGTACAGAGACACCTCTACCACCCCTGTTGGTACAGAGGCACCATCTACCATCCCAGTTGGTACAGAGGCACCATCTACCACCCCTGTTGGTACAGAGGCACCATCTACCACCCCTGTTGGTACAGAGGCACCATCTACCACCCCTGTTGGTACAGAGGCACCATCTACCACCCCTGTTGGTACAGAGGCACCATCTACCACCCCTGTTGGTACAGAGGCACCATCTACCACCCCCTGTTGGTACAGAGGCACCATCTACCACCCCCTGTTGGTACAGAGGCACCATCTACCACCCCCTGTTGGTACAGAGGCACCATCTACCACCCCTGTTGGTACAGAGGCACCATCTACCACCCCTGTTGGTACAGAGGCACCATCTACCACCCCCTGTTGGTACAGAGGCACCATCTACCACCCCTGTTGGTACAGAGGCACCATCTACCACCCCCTGTTGGTACAGAGGCTCCATCTACCACCCCTGTTGGTACAGAGGCACCATCTACCACCCTTGATGGTACAGAGGCACCATCTACCACCCCCTGTTGGTACAGAGGCCCCATCTACCACCCCTGTTGGTACAGAGGCACCTCTACCACCCCTGTTGGTACAGAGGCCCCATCTACCACCCCTGTTGGTACAGAGGCACCTCTACCACCCCTGTTGGTACAGAGGCCCCATCTACCACCCCTGTTGGTACAGAGGCACCTCTACCACCCCTGTTGGTACAGAGGCCCCATCTACCACCCCCTGTTGGTACAGAGGCACCTCTACCACCCCTGTTGGTACAGAGGCCCCATCTACCACCCCTGTTGGTACAGAGGCACCTCTACCATCCCTGTTGGTACAGAGGCCCCATCTACCACCACCTGTTGGTACAGAGGCCCCATCTACCACCCCTGTTGGTACAGAGGCACCTCTACCACCCCTGTTGGTACAGAGGCCCCATCTACCACCCCCTGTTGGTACAGAGGCTCCATCTACCATCCCTGTTGGTACAGAGGCTCCATCTGCCACCCCTGTTGGTACAGAGGCACCTCTACCACCCCTGTTGGTACAGAGGCACTATCTACCACCCCCTGTTGGTACAGAGGCACCTCTACCACCCCCTGTTGGTACAGAGGCACCATCTACCACCCCTGTTGGTACAGAGGCTCCATCTGCCACCCCTGTTGGTACAGAGGCACCATCTACCACCCCTGTTGGTACAGAGGTCCCATCTACCAACCACCTGTTGGTACAGAGGCACCATCTACCACCCCTGTTGGTACAGAGGCACCATCTGCCACCGCTGTTGGTACAGAGGCCCCATCTACCACCCCCTGTTGGTACAGAGGCACCATCTACCACCCCTGTTGGTACAGAGGCACCATCTACCACCCCTGTTGGTACAGAGGCATCATCTACCACCCCTGTTGGTACAGAGACACCATCTACCACCCCTGTTGGTACAGAGGCTCCATCTACCACCCCCTGTTGGTACAGAGACCCCATCTACCACCCCCTGTTGGTACAGAGGCTCCATCTACCATCCCTGTTGGTACAGAGGCTCCATCTGCCACCCCTGTTGGTACAGAGGCACCTCTACCACCCCTGTTGGTACAGAGGCACTATCTACCACCCCCTGTTGGTACAGAGGCACCTCTACCACCCCCTGTTGGTACAGAGGCACCATCTACCACCCCTGTTGGTACAGAGGCTCCATCTGCCACCCCAGTTGGTACAGAGGCACCATCTACCACCCCTGTTGGTACAGAGGCCCCATCTACCAACCACCTGTTGGTACAGAGGCACCATCTACCACCCCTGTTGGTACAGAGGCACCATCTGCCACCCCTGTTGGTACAGAGGCCCCATCTACCACCCCCTGTTGGTACAGAGGCACCATCTACCACCCCTGTTGGTACAGAGGCACCATCTACCACCCCTGTTGGTACAGAGGCATCATCTACCACCCCTGTTGGTACAGAGACACCATCTACCACCCCTGTTGGTACAGAGGCTCCATCTACCACCCCCTGTTGGTACAGAGGCCCCATCTACCACCCCCTGTTGGTACAGAGGCTCCATCTACCACCCCTGTTGGTACAGAGGCACCATCTACCACCCCTGTTGGTACAGATGCACCATCTACCACCCCTGTTGGTGCAGAGGCTCCATCTACCAACCACCGGTTGGTACAGAGGCACCATCTACCACCCCTGTTGGTACAGAGGCTCCATCTACCACCCCCTGTTGGTACAGAGGCTCCATCTACCACCCCTGTTGGTACAAAGGCACCATCTACCACCCCTGTTGGTACAGTGGCACCATCTACCTCCCCTATTGGTACAGAGGCACCATCTACCACCCCCTGTTGGTACAAAGGCTCCATCTACCACCCCTGTTGGTACAGAGGCTCCATCTACCACCCCTGTTGGTACAGAGGCTCCATCTACCAACCACCTGTTGGTACAGAGGCTCCATCTACCACCCCCTGTTGGTACAGAGGCACCTCTACCACCCCCTGTTGGTACAGAGGCACCATCTACCACCCCTGTTGGTACAGAGGCTCCATCTACCAACCACCTTTTGGTACAGAGGCTCCATCTACCACCCCTGTTGGTACAGAGGCACCATCTACCACCCCTGTTGGTACAGAGGCACCATCTACCACCTCTGTTGGTACAGAGGCACCATCTACCACCCCTGTTGGTACAGAGGCTCCATCTACCACCCCCTGTTGGTTCAGAGGCTCCATCTACCACCCCTGTTGGTACAGAGGCTCCATCTACCACCCCTGTTGGTACAGAGGCTCCATCTACCACCCCTGTTGTTACAGAGGCTCCATCTACCACCCCCTGTTGGTACAGAGGCACCATCTACCACCCCCTGTTGGTACAGAGGCCCCATCTACCACCCCCTGTTGGTACAGAGGCCCCATCTACCACCCCCTGTTGGTACAGAGGCTCCATCTACCACCCCTGTTGGTACAGAGGCACCATCTACCACCCCTGTTGGTACAGAGGCTCCATCTACCACCCCTGTTGGTGTGGACACCGTTCAAATTACCTTACATTTATGTAAATGCTTACGATATACATGCATTTTCGACTGTCCTACACAGACAGTGTTAGAGAGCTGCTACACCACACAGTGTTAGAGAGCTGCTACAGTACACAGTGTTAGAGAGCTGCTACACCACACAGTGTTAGAGAGCTGCTACACCACACAGTGTTAGAGAGCTGCTACAGTACACAGTGTTAGAGAGCTGCTACACCACACAGTGTTAGAGAGCTGCTACACCACACAGTGTTAGAGAGCTGCTACAGTACACAGTGTTAGAGAGCTGCTACATCACACAGTGTTAGAGAGCTGCTACACCACACAGTGTTAGAGAGCTGCTACACCACACAGTGTTAGAGAGCTGCTACAGTACACAGTGTTAGAGAGCTGCTACAGTACACAGTGTTAGAGAGCTGCTACAGTACAC